GGGAGGAGGGGAAGGGGAATGGGAATGGGGAAATGGGAAGGGGAAGGGGGAATGGGGAATGGGAATGGGAATGGGGAATGGGAATGGGGGAATGGGAATGGGAATGGGGAAATGGGGAAATGGGAATGGGAGAGGAAGAGGGGAAATGGGAATGGGAAAATGGGAATGGGAACAGGGAATGGGAATGGGGAATGGGAATGGGAGAGGGGAATGGGGGAATGGGAAATGGGAATGGGGAAATGGGAATGGGAACAGGGAATGGGAATGGGAGAGGGAGAAAGAACGGGAATGGGAACGGGAGAGGGGAACTGGAACGAGGAACGGGAACAAGAGAGGGGAACAGGAAAATGGGAACGGGAACCGGACAGAGGGGAACGGTAACAGGAATGGGAGAAGGGAACGGGGATCCCGGGGATGGCACAGAGCCCGCGAGGAGCTCTTCCTGAGGGGGATGGAACCGGGGCCGTGACAGGCGATCCCGGGGATGGAACCGGGGCCGTGACAGGCGATCCCGGAGCCGGGACGGGCACCGTCAGGAGCCGTTCCCGGAGCTGGGACCGGGTGCGGGAGTGCCCCGCGGCGCTCACCCTGCAGCACGGCCGGGATGCAGGCAGCCTGCACGGGCGTGGGCCGGACGAGCCCGACCTGCCGCGCCTGCTCCGCCAGCCACGGCGCCAGCCCGAGCGCCCGGAACTCCGCCATGGCCGCTCCGCTCCGCGTGCGCGCCGCGCGCCCCGATGGCGTCACCGCCGCGCCGCCCGCTCATTGGCTGGTTCGCTCTAACCCCGCCCACACCCGGCACCACGCGTCGCTTTGGTGACGTATTCACCTCCTCGCTTTGCTATTGGCGGTTTCCATGGGGACGGCGGCTCCCGGCAGCCCCCGCGGCGCGGGAGCTTCCGGGGACGTGTCTGAGGGCGATGGCGGCCGGGACGGGAGCGGCGCCTCCGGGGGAGGCGGACGAGCTCTTCGATCTCCGCAACAACTTCTACATCGGCGCCTACCAGGCTGCCATCAACGAGGCGCAGCGGGCCAAGGTCGGGCACGGCGGGCGGCGCTGCCCGGGAGGGTTTGTGAGGGGTCGGTGCCGGGTGTGAGGGGTCAGGTTGTGAGGGGTCAGTTTGTGAGGGGTCGGTTTGTGAGGGGTCGGTCCCGGGTGTGAGGGGTCAGTGCCGGGTGTGAGGGGTCAGTTTGTGAGGGGTCAGTTTGTGAGGGGTCGGTTTGTGAGGGGTCGGTGCCGGGTGTGAGGGGTCGGTGCCGGGTGTGAGGGGTGGGTTTGTGAGGGGTGGGTTTCTGAGGGATCGGTTTGTGAGGGGTGGGTTTTGGGGGGGCCGG